TACTGCTGCTACTACTACTACTACTACTACTACTACTACTACTACTACTACTACTACTACTACTACTACTACTACTACTACTACTAGTATTAGTACTAGCACTAGCACTAGCACTACCACTACCACTACGACGACTACTACTACTACTACTACTACTACTACTACTACTACTACTACTACTACTACTACCCATAGCCTCCCGGCGCCTCCTCTCTCTCTCTCTCTCGCTCTCTCTCTCGGTCTCGTTTCTCCTACATATGTTTTATAGATAAAGAAGATTGGTTCACTATATGTGTATACACATGTAAATGAATCATCCCTCACTCCCTCGTGGACAGATCGGCCTCCAACAGGCTCCACCCAGCGACAAAGTGCTCAAAATGCCTCCCAAGGATGGCATCATCGACCTGGATGAGCTTTCCTCTGGCCGAATGTGACAGAACTCAGCTTGCGTGGCCTGTGGAGCTGCCCTTTGAGGTTTGGGTTTGCTTACCTGGGAAGGTTCTTCAAGCGGACTTCACTCCATGTCATGCAGACCATGGCTGCAAGTTGGGCCTCCAAGCACGGGCACGAAACCCTGAAGCCCCGGCCAACTGTACTCTGCTAAGGGAGTGCCAAACCCGCCAAGGCTCGGGCACATTCCCGTCGAGGAGCTTCAGCAGATCGTCGAGGAGACCCATGCCTGATGCACGACGAAAGTTGAGATTGGATACGTCCTCAGCCCATCTTGGGGCCCAATGTGAGGACATGGACCAGAACGGCGACAAGGCAGTAGACCTTGAGGAGTTCAAGGAGCTTTCCGGGTGATGCTTGTTGTGTGGGTTGTCATATTGGGGGGTTTCCGAAAATAGGGGTACCCTTGCTGGGGTCCTTTTATAAGGGAATCCTACTATTTAGGGGTCTACATGAATTAAGGGTCCCTACCTAGCCCTAAACCCCTACACTACAACCCTTGGCACGCATCCCCGACCCCGAACCCGAAATGCTATGCCTGTGTGTATTCTGGGTGAGACTGCATTCGGACCTGTTGTTCCGCATGTGGCTGTGTGCTCTTCAAATTTTCAGACAAGTCAGATCTGGGGCCGATTTCCGCGCAATTCCTGCAGGAGATGCTGCGGAATACCGACATTACGCGGCTTGGCACATATTGACTGTTCTGGAGTCAGGCTCAGGCAATGGGTTTGATGGTTTAGTCAGGCCCTACATATTGCTCCTTGGAACTTGTAGTTTTGCTGGAGAGGCTTCTTTTGAGCAGTCAACAAGCACCCGGGACCTTCTACAGTGAAGGCTAGGACCTCCCACAAAGAAACAACAGAAAAACCCAAGCTGCGCGGTCTCGACCTGTGGCTTCTGGGTCATGACCTCTGACCTTTCTGACCACGAGATCCCCGCAATTGGAACACAAAACTGGAAACATCAGGGACAACCTGGCCTTTATTGTTGACTTCACATTAATTAACCCCCCCTCCCTTGGTTGATCAATCTTTTCGGCCAGGGCCTCCTCAATTGCATTCGCCTAAATCCTGGTAGGGTTTTCTATTGGTTTTAGTATTAGGTGGTGGTAGTAGTAGTAGTAGTAGTAGTAGTAGTCGTATTAGTATTAGTATTAGTATTAGTATTAGTCGTAGTCGTAGTCGTCGTAGTAGTAGTAGTAGTAGTAGTAGTAGTAGTAGTAGTAGTAGTAGTAGTAGTAGTAGTAGTAGTAGTAGTAGTAGTAGTAGTAGTAGTAGTAGTATGGTTTGGGGGGTTAAGGGTTTTAGGGTTGAGGGTTTAATTAGTTAGGGTTGAGGGTTGAGGGTTTGGGGGGGGTAAGGGTTTAGGGTTGAGCTCTAAACTCCCCCCCTTAAACTTATAAGTTTAAGCAACCTGGAACATCTCCTTCAAAAAAAAGTAGGAACAAGCGTGATTTTATAATTGTGGCGGCCGATATTATTGTGTTCCGGCCCCCGGGATTTTATTATTGTAGCGGGACTATCTAATGTGAAGTCAACATTACCCACCTTACCCTATATGCGTGTGCATTGCTCAAACTGCGCACTTTTCCCATCCAGACGTGCGAATACGATCGCGTCCTTCAAGACAATCACCGCCAACGAGGACCGCTACAGTTCGCTTGGCTCGGCTTGGTTCCCGCAAGCTTGCACATGATTAGCGCTGGAGTATTTTGCTGAGACCTAGAGGTGCTTTTGAAACAAGCTGCCCTGGGCTCCCCCAAGCGTCACCTCTTCGAGGGACCCCAAACCCTTCGACCAGCCTATCTTTCTCAATCGAGTTAGAGCAAGCTCTTGCACGGATATCGAGCTGTCCGAATTTAATCTGAAGTGAGCCTGGTATCTGCGCAGGCACTCGCCCTGTGTACGAATGAGGATGCAGCCAGCAATGCTAGCATTTAAGCCTCAGGCGCGGATTCCCCATTGCTTCGGAAGGTTTGTGTTTTCGGTTAGCGTGCTATGGCTCCGGCCTTGAGTTCGCGAGTGGAGCAGCTTTGTTTGGCCAATCAGCTGTTAAGCCGTACAGTTTGATAAGCACTCCTAAACAAAACAGGGTCGTGAAGTTTGTCACCTTCAGACAAACTACGGTGTGCAGTTGATGGCAACGAGTGGATGAATGGGCGAAGTTTGAGGGCAGTGGCTCCCTGTGAGGTGTCGGACCCAGGGCGATGCTGGAATGGTGTTGATGCGAGATTTTCGCAGCTGCTTTCTCTCATACAGAATCAGAATCTCGGCAATCATGCCTTATAAGCTTAGAGTCACTGCTGGAATCGCAAGAAGTGCCCTTACTTGGAGGGCTTCCGCTTGAGAGGAAGAACAGCATGCGTCTTCACGACTATGCACGGTAGGTTACCTACGTACAAAGCAGCGGCATGCGATCTGGGCTGCCAGATCAGTGCATCTGGCCCGAGCACTTATCTCATGTAGCAGGAAGGACAGGAGGAAGTATGAAGAGATGCACCCGACATACCACCAGATTTTGGCACTTTTAGCCTTGCTTCCCGCCAAAAGCCGATGTTCGATGCCAGATTTTCGTCTCAAGCTCGAGGCCTTGGGGAGAAAGCCTCAAATCGCCAAACCTGCATCCACAAAATGACCCAAGCTGAGGTCCCTCTAGGCCGCAAGCGCAGGTGACTCCCTTTATTTGGATTCCTGACACAATGGTCTAGCTGCAGATGTCAGTACTACCGGCAACATGAGACCTTAAGTTGTGAGTGTCAACCCGCGTCCCCTGGGCCGGCGAGCTTAAATTTTCTGCTGCGGGCCTAGCAGCTGAGTTTCCTGTTTCCATCGCACAGGCATAGCTGGAAGCCCGCTTCATTATCGGACTCGTGCAGCAGTTCCGACAAAGCACGCCGTTTGTTCCCTGGCACATTGTCTGAGGAGCAACATAAATTTCCACGAGGCCGCAGGGCTTGTCTGTGGAAGTACATTGGAAACATACCTCAATCCCCACAAAAGCTGTGTCCCCTTCAGCTTCCTCTCCGACTCGTAGCTGCAAAATCCTTCAGCAGTGAGCGAACGTCATATGGATAAGCAGGGCTTTTGCCCCCTTGGAACAGCTCGGATGTTTCAACTGTAGAAGTTGCCCAAACCCCACGCTGTTGGAGAAAGCTCCTGCGGGCTAAGCCAGTGATGTTTGAAACCCACAGCATCATCTTCAGAGGGCCTCCCCCTTACAAGCTATTGAGTTTTGACAAAGCTGCCGGGTAAGACTAGCAGGAGGCAGTAGGCATGTCAGTCGTCGTAGTCGTAGCATAGTGAAGCAGTGCAGCAGCATGAGGAACAGGAGGAGCAACAGTCTTTGTCCTACCTTGTTCGCAGCTTGTGCTGCTCCCGCTACCGAACCTCCTTGTTTTCCATGTCTCCCTGGCCGGACTTTGTTTTTCTTCGACTTCTGTGATGACTTAGCTGGTTTCGCGCACTTTGTTTTGCCAAATTGTGCGTGTTTCGGCGGCAGGCATGTCCGTTTCTTTGTTTGTCTGCTTTCCTGTCACATGTTGCGCTCACTTTGCTGCTTTCTTTTCTCAGGTTCTTTGCCTCTCTGTCGGCTGCTGAATTCATGACCTTGACAGCGATCTTTTCTGAACAGAACGTCGGGGCAGAGTCGAAACTTTTTTTCGCCGGCGAAGATTTCGAAGGTCCAATCAACAAGCACGGTGCCTTGAACCCTGCTGTCAACACACAAGTGTTCGTGCCAGTAGTGAAACTGGTGTTTCGCGGGCATCTGCACCCAGCGCCCTTTTGCGGTGCAGGCCGTCTGGTGCGCGGGAACCCGGTAGTTCGTATTTAGAAGTTCGAATGTTGCCGCGTCCCGTTCCCGTTCCCGTTCCCGTTCCCGTTCCGTTCGCGTTCCGTTCCGTTGCCTCCCCCCGGCACACTCTGGTGAGTAGCTAGCAGAGCGTGTTGGGGAGTCAATAAGAATGTAGGTCGAATGGGAGTTTGGATGTGGAAGTGGTACTGGTAGGACTGGTAGTGGTAGTGGTAGTGGTAGTGGTAGTGTAGCAGTAGCAGTAGCAGTAGCATTAGTAGTAGTAGTAGTAGTAGTAGTAGTAGTAGTAGTAGTAGTAGTAGTAGTAGTAGTAGTAGTAGTAGTAGCAGGTAGTAGTGGTAGGTAGCAGAAGCAGCAGCGGTAGCAGCGGTGGTAGTGGTGGTAGGTTTGGTAGTGGTGGCAGTGGTGGCAGTGGTGGCAGTGGCAGTTCCACGTCTGCGTGCAGAGTCCACAGTCTTATGGGCCAACCCTATCTATCCTTCAAGTAGCCTAACTTTGTTTTTCATACCTTGAGATGTTTTGCCGATGGGCTTTCGAAGAAGATGGTGCTTGTGTGCATTACCGCGCTTTTATGAAACGAGAGTTTTAAAACAACGAGAGCTCCCCGATCCCCCAACGCGGGACGCGGGACAGCCAGGATGCTTAGCCCATTCAGCCGACTTGCTGTGACTTGCTTGATGATGTTCTGCCACCTTGGGATCGTTGTGCTGAGGTGCTAAGTAACCTTTGACCGTTGGATGCCGTTTGTAAAAGCTTTCACGGCTGCCCCAAATGGCGGTTGCCTGGCCGAGAAGTGCCAATCATTTGCTGAGGTAGTGCAGGTTCACTGGACATCATAGAGTCATAGAGAGCCTGGACATGGCGAGCTGTGAGCTCGTCCACACTCTAGGCTCGCAACCTCTCGCACATCGACGGAGTCCTTCTGACACGTTGGCTGAGCTCGAGCAACATACAAAAGTTGAACAGGATCGTGTTTTCTTCCCAAAACACATACGCTACATCGGGTGTCCCTCAAGCGTCTCAACAAGGTCATAGAGTCATAGAGGCTGCAAACCCGACCAATCCCCAAGCTTCAAGTGCCTTGGAGGTGTTGTGTGGGAGCTATACGGAGAGAGGTGCGAGGAGTCGAAGCCGAGCGCACTGCTCATGGCCGAGATGTCACCTCAAACGGCCCAAAGACTTTACAATACAACGATGTCTCGTCGCACTCAAGAAAAGGACCGCTTTGACCGTGATGACGCACGAAGTCGCTGGCTGGATTGCATGGTGTGTGGAGACTACCTTGTATTCGGTGACCCCCGTTTTTCCACCTGCACCACATTCGCATTCGTAGTCCAAGACCCACCACGACCACAGCTTAGTTGCAGCCTGTCTTCTTCTGAAGTCCTGAAGTGCACATGGTCAGTTCCAATGCAGGGCCGAACCATTCTGGGGAAGGTCTTATTCTGGAAGCGGGAGGCCAGACCTGCAAAATGCAGTGCTGTGGCAGCTCCACGTGGTCCTGTTGTAATAGAAGCCCCGAGTTCCGTGAGTGTTGGTCCCAATTGGTGAATCCAAAAGAAATTTCCACCCAAAGAGAGACAGTACCTGTAAAGTTGACCAAATCAAACGCTGGTAGGCCGCTCCACCCTGCAACATGTCTATACCTTGGTTCTGTAGGATCCTATACTGGCACTAAATCCCTGTGGTTCCGTCATTCATCTTGCCACAGGCTGGCCGTTTTGTGGTGCGCATGGGGGCGCACGCTCAGAAGGGCTGGATGGAGGCCCCCTGTTTGAATCATATCTCCTGCAGGAGCCACCGCCGACCTGCAGTGAAGCTCATGCGCCAGAGTGGAACCCCTTGCCCCTTTTGATTCAAACCCACCCCTTAAAGCAATAATAGTGAATATCTAAATATACATACTTTTATATATACACACACGCATATGTATGTATGTATATATATATATATGGACACACCCCCTCCCATGACCCACCCAGATCTGTTTCCCTCGTAAATACCGTTAAAGACCCGCTCGTGCCCTATGCCATTTTTTGCTACTCTCAGTGGCTGTCTCTCGACAAAACAGACCCCACACGGGCCACAAGACTGGACGCCGAGACGCGCGAGACCAAAAAACCAAAAAAACCATCTTTTTTAGAGAATGGGGAGGGGATTTTGAAAAAGATGGTTTTTTTGGTTTTGCCTCGTAAAAAGATGGTTTTTCATAGGAAAACCAACTTTTCCCACGTAAAAGATGGTTTTGGTCTGGACTGCCTCAGGAAAACCATCTTTTTGCGAGGTAAAAGTTGGTTTTTGGCTCCAAAACCATCTTTTACGAGGCAAAACCAAAAAAGCAAAAAAACCATCTTTTTTAGAGAATGGGGAGGGGATGTTGAAAAAGATTGTTTTTTTGGTTTTGCCTCGTAAAAAGATGGTTTTTCATAGGAAAACCAAGTTTTCCCACGCAAAAAGATGGTTTTGGTCTGGACTGCCTCAGGAAAACCATCTTTTTGCGAGGTAAAAGTTGGTTTTTGGCTCCAAAACCATCTTTTTACGAGGTAAAATTTGGTTTTTGTGTCCAAAACCATCTTTTTACGTGGGAAAAGTTGGTTTTGCTATGGAAAACCATCTTTTTACGAGGCAAAACCAAAAAAACCATTTTTTTCAAAATCCCCTCCCCATTCTCTAAAAAAGATGGGTTTTTTGGTTTTTGGTTTTGCGAGGCAAAACCAAAAAAACAATCTTTTTCAACATCCCCTCCCCATTCTCTAAAAAAGATGGTTTTTTTGGTTTTTTGGTTTTGCCTCGTAAAAGATGGTTTTGGAGCCAAAAACCAACTTTTACCTCGCAAAAAGATGGTTTTCCTGAGGCAGTCCAGACCAAAACCATCTTTTACGTGGGAAAAGTTGGTTTTCCTATGAAAAACCATCTTTTTACGAGGCAAAACCAAAAAAACAATCTTTTTCAAAATCCCCTCCCCATTCTCTAAAAAAGATTGTTTTTTTGGTTTTTTGGTTTTGCCTCGTACCTCTCTCGGGCCAGAACCGTTCAGCTCTACATGTAGCTATGCTTGGAGGCTCGTTGGTTTTGGTCAGTCTTATATTAATCTCAGCAATAGCATTCCTATTCCTATTAATGTAAAAGGGTTCCTAACCATCTTTATAGGACTTCTTTTCATTTTACAAATATTCTTATGAACTTTCAGAGGGTTCTTATTCAACATCAGAGGATTCCTAATACTTTTCAATAGGGTTCTTATGCATTTCAACAAGGTTCTTAATCATTTTCAAGTGGCTCTTTTAATTCCAACAGGGTTCCTCTGAAATTAAAAATCTTTTTAAGATTCATATTGGTGACTATTCATTTTAGTGAGTCTCCAAGTAATTTTAATGGTATTCTTAGAAAATTGAATAGCGTTCCTCGTCCTATTAATTCTAATAGGAATCACATTAAGTCTAACAGGAAGCCAAGAAATTTTGAAAAGGAACCACATTGAATTTTGTAGGATTCCTATTGGTTCCTATTATTCTTAGTAGGGTTCCTCTTCATTTTAAAAGGATTCCTATCAATTGGTAATAGGGTACTTAAAAAATTTTACTGGGGTTCCTAATATATCCGATTAACGTCAAAGGGTTCCTGACCATCTTAATGGGACTCCTCTACCATTGCAGAATATTCTTATGAATTTTATAGGGTTCTTATTCAATGTAGAAGGATTCCTAATACGTTTTGTAAACAGGGTTCTTATGAATTTCAACAAGGTTCTCAATCATTTTAAAGCGGCTTCTTGTAGTTTCATAGGGGTCCATCTGAAAATGAAAAGGGCTCATACTTCTTTTTAGGATTCCTATTGGTTCCTATTCATGTTTGCAAAGTAATTGGAATGGTTTTTTCTGGAGATTTGAATAGCATTCCTGTCCCATTAATTCTAATAGGAATCACATGAATTCTAACAGGAAGCCTAGAAATCCGAAACACATTCATTTTTATGGGATTCCTATTGGTTCCTATTAATTTAGTAGGATTTCTCTTCATTTTCAAAGGATTCCAATAGGGTTCTTATGATTTTTAGTGGTGTTGCTTATAAATTCTAATTGATAGGACCCTCTTCATTTAAAAGATGCCTCTTAATTTGTAAAAAGGGTTCTTATGAATTTTAGTGGGGTTCCTCATAAATTGAATAGGATTCTAATTCATCATAATAAGATTAAGAGAAATATTAATAGGATTCCTATATAGATTTAATGGAATTCCCACATTCCCGTGAATTCAAAAAGGGTCCCTTTTCATTTTCACAGGCTCCCTACTATTCTTCATGGGGGGCCCTATTGTTTTTCTACATTTTAATAGCATTCCCATGACGTTTGATAGGGAGTTCCTCTGACTCAAATATGATTCCAAGTCATTATTCCTATTGATTCAATAAAGAGTCTTATTAATCTTAATAGGGTTCGTATGAATTTCATAGGGTTTTCGTTCAATTAAGAGGGTTCTTATTAAATTCATAGCTATGACTAAGTATGGATTTCTTACTCCGACACGGCCTCACGGTGGGTCATGGGGGTGGGGGTGTGAGCATATATATATATATATATATAGATCTTTCAACAACAGTTTCCCAAGAATCCGGCTCCGGTCTCATCCCGGGCCGAAAGTAATCCTAAACTTGGAGGAAACCCTCAATCATCCCCAGCCCTCTGATTCAATTCGACGCCGCTGTATCTGGGCATGCGGAGGGTTCTGAAAGGAGGCGAAAGGGTGGTTTCTCCCAGAGATTCATGCCGACTTAGCGCTAAAGAACGCTCAGCTGGATCTTCAATCCGCGACAGGACCTTGCAAAAGCCGACCACAGCGAAACACAAGAGATGACAAAGCTGCATGTTGATGCCGATCGGAGCACATGACTCTCCATGCGTGATCGCACCAAGTTCAACAATCCTTGACATCTCACCCAGATATCGTCGGCGGCTTTGGTTGCTGCAATTGGAAATTCTTGAGCGCAGCTACTCTACTCCGAGGGGGGGGACCAGAAACGCCTATTCACAGATGCGTGAATGCAAGGGTGTCCCTTGCGCATTCATCAAGTGCAAATGCCCATGCGTCTGTTGCTGAACACTGCCTTGACTGCAACTGTGATTAATGTAGGCAATGCATCGATCTTCACAAAGCAATACCCGGCAGGCGACGATGGTTGCCGGTGCAGGTGTTTCCTTCCTTGTGCTCGTGGCCCTGCTTGGCATGTGACGTGCTGAGTTGGCCTGATAGCTTCGTGTGGGCATTGCGTCGGTTTTTGAAGTATATTGCAGTCCTATACATTCGCATAGAAGCCCCATAATCGCCATCGTCTGGCGATTTGCTAAGTACTGGCAGTACGGGAGAGGCTATTGAGATAGATGTGTTGTTGCTAGGCAGGGTCTTGTCGTCGTGCAATTGCCATGAAGCATGCTGAATGAACCACTTGGAACGAGTCCATGTGGGTTGCTCCTGTTTATCCATTGCAACGAAGGGATCCTCAGTCACCGAACCGCACGTGAGGTGTCTCGTCACCTGCTGCACGGCCCTTTTCAGCGATGAGGAGCCAGACGTCGCCGCGGCTGCAGCCAAGGCAGTTCTCACAATCTGCACTCCATCCAACGACAGAGCCTGTCGCGTGTGCACCCATGTCCTGCACCCATACAGGTGTGGAGGGACGAAGCAGAAAGGGCTTGGGGAGGGCAAGTAGGGCCCTCTAGCAAGAAGACTTGGCAACTTTGCTTTCCGGTCCCTGGGAGGAGGCGGTCGGTACTTTGAATCTGGTGGTAGACTGAAAAACCTCACAGAAGGCTCTCCGACAGCCGAAGTTAAGCTCTGGCCGTCTCTTGCTGTCCGCGTTGCCGACAGGTCCGTTAGTGTTTGCGGGGCTTATACATCTTTCTGGTGCTGTGGCCGCGATGCCGCGGCGTGTCTGCATGGGCCCCAGTCTCAGCAACGAAACGCACCTGAAAGCGCAGGTGGCGGCGAAGAAACGCCAGTGAGAGGACCATGTATATACATGGATGCTTAATGCAGGAACCTGGGCAGCACATCTTGAATCTTGTTATTGTTTCCACACAAGGCTTTGCGACTTTCAACTAACTGAACGCTAATACGGCTAAGCACCTCACAGCCGCAGCCTCCACAACTTCCAGGGTGACTTTAAACTTGTTCCGTGCGAAGCATGCCAGTGCATGGAAAAAGTCAAGCACAGCACGCGGCAATGCCGGATAGAGCTCAATCTCAGTAGTCTACAGTAGGGCTATGTTGGTTGACTGGCTAGCAGCTTGTGAGAGGTTTGTGTAGATCTGCGAGCGCTCCACCGGTGCAGAGTACTCCGCAAGGGCGAGTCAAGCATACTATAGCAGATTCATATATAGGATGGACGACAGATTGCTCAGAGCGGCTGAACGTTTCAGGGCATGATGCTTGGTGAAGCTTTGGCTCTGCGTCGTCCCATCCTCCGCGCTTCCCACGCCATGCCACGTTCGAGCCGCAGTCTCGTTTGCCTGGCCCTGGTAGCTGCAGGCCGTGTGAAGTTGCCGCATAGCTCAGCATGCTGTTTGGCGACATTGATGCCCAGAACGGTGCAAGATTCTGTCAAATTGAGTCTCGATCTTTGGATCTGAGAATCCTCAATTCCAGAGTCAGGTTTCACGATGGCTGGATTGCAATGAACAGCATTGCGCAAGTTGCCTTCCAAGATTGGAAAATGCCGCAGTGTTGCAGGATACGTGTCTACCCGGCTCGCGACCTTCGTGGCCACCCCAGCACCCTCCGTCCCGAAAGCTCCTCGCACGCAGCTGACGCAGCTCCAGGCGCAAGAGAGTGTCCAGCGAAGCAGTCATTGTCAAAAGGGGAGCTTGCAGAAAGGCTTTGGCGAGCTTTCACGACGTTTTTTAACTTCATGAGCCGAAGTCCAACCCCTTCGGAGGCGCGAGGCGGCGGCGAGTACGATGTCAGCAGCAGCCTGAGCTACACAGGACGCAGACAATCTCAGCCCGTGATCCGTGAAGGGCAGGTGGAAGACCATCACGTCCTTATAATCCCCTGGAGAGTGATGTAAAGCGCATGCTCATTGCTCCAATCAGTCGGGCCGAGGTGATGCAGACATTCAGGCCTTCTACTCCTCTTTGCTGACAGGCAGCGGAGGCCTACTCAAGATTGGAGGGCCAAGCTGTAAGAAGCAAGCTGCTGTACACATGGGGTGCTCAACAGAGTGCAGTTGAAGCTTTGCTGAGTCTGCATTGGCATGCGTATACGGCATACACATAATTTGTGCTGCTGCGAGTCCAAAAAATAGACCAGGGCCATAGTAATCCTAAATGGAACGCCTCGTGCGGCATGCAGCCTGTATATAAGAGCAGCGCCCCGAGATCTCATGAGCTAATTGGGCTATACTTGACATAGCACCTGGCCATCTACTCGGCCGAACACTACCTTTTTTCCTATACGCCACGGCAGCATACTGCAGCCTCTTTTTCGCTGAAAAGGCGACCCTCCGAAAGGCACTGTGCTGTCCGAGCTGGTAGTCAAGCTCCTTGGCCAGCACTGGCTCCAAGTTTCCGACTTTGCTGGGTATCCATGGGTTTAGGGTTTAGGGTTTAGGGTCTAGGGAGTCAGAGCTTGAGCCTCCGCTAAGCCGCGAGGTTCTTTCACGGCGAGTTCTTGCCTCAGGGCTTCAAGCGCTACTCTGGACTGTGGAAGGGCCCTCCCCCAGGCCAGCCTTTTTGAATGAAATCGGTGCCGAACATATGAGCTGCAGCATGGGTTGCGTTCTAAATTCGCGTATTCTTTCAGCTACTTTAACTTACGTTAATAGGCTTGGGCGGTATATTTTCATGTCTCTCCTCTAAGGCGGCATGCCAGCAGAGCCACTGATACCCCATTGTGGCGCTAGGAAAATGGTAGGCTCGCGTTAGGTAAGAAATTAACAGATGTTACATTCCCATGCCACCATTTCAAGGTGCACCACACACACGAAATCAGTCGCTGTAGTTGGTTGAACAACTCTGTAAAGGCGAGAGCCTTTCATAAACACATGATACGTTCAAAGGGTAAAGGGTGTTGGCCACAGCTCATATGGTCAGTGGCTGCCTCCAACATTGACATGACAAATCATGACAACGACAACAGGACTCTAGGACAGTGTATCATAGACCTCGGCACATAAACGTCGCTGCGCGACTTTCAGCTCCACTCCGACATCAAACGTTCTACAGAAGTTCCTTTAGCTTCGGAGATTTTCGCGAAACCACGAGCGCTGCCATGTGTAGGCGTTGTTTCTGACTGTGAAGTCTGCATGACAACGCGGGCAGAAAACCCCCTGCTCTTTATTTCTCGCGCGGAAAATGGGAGCTACGTCTGGATGATCGCCACGTCAGGAACCATCGGCAAGAAGGACATCGCCGTGGGCGTCATGGGTCTCAAAGCGCAGATGGCGAATCCCATGTTCGTGACCAAGGCCCTGTCGACTGAGCTGGGCTTGAGGAACCACTTGACTGTACAAAGCCTCTACAAGCCAAACTCTTGTTAAAGACCCATTTGGGCTTCAGGGTGGCGTTGGCTACGGCGTGGATGAGACGCAAAAGGTGGCAGACGCTTGGAAGATCCCAGTTTCCAGCGCTGGTCGATTCCAGGTGTGTTTTGCTTGTAGCTACGTGTACTGGCAGTGTGGCGACAGCTCGCATAGAAACACCGCGACAGCAAATCTGAAAGTCCCGATAGTAGCGAGGCGTTGTTTCCTTCAGCGGCTGATGAGCATTAGCCTGAGGATGATGGCAAGGGATGGGTGTGGCTGGCAGCTGAGATGCTCCTTGCTTAAAAAGTGGAGTGTAGCAGCGAAGTGAAGTGCATGACTCACTTACAGGCTTCCTTGTTGACAAGGTTGAACACAAGCTGAACCCAGAAGTGTCTGCAGCCATCAGACATCCAGAAATCACGAACCCAACAGTCGCACTTCGGTCTACGGTCACAGTCTCCCCCCCCCCCCCCCCCCCCCCCCCCCCACACCGAGGAGGCCTTTAAACTTCCCTTAAAAAACTACCAAGACGAAGCCACATCCTAAGCGCCACCCCCAAGTAGGAAAGCTGTGAGGAGCCCGGGTGGCCTGGCCTTGGAGCTCTTCCAGTCCGTTCCCTATGGCGCCTGAACCACAAATTTGCTTGGTTTTAGGGATTTAGGGGGCCAGGTGCTCCAGAGCATAAGTCTCAAAAGCAGGTTCCCAAAAAGATGGTTCCTTCTCCGAGCTTTTGCGACGCAACGAAGGCAAGCGTGCCCTCCTGGTGGCGAAGCAAAACAATGTCGACGAGCTTTTCAACTCAGTACTCAGGCTGCAGGTTGCTCGCGAGAGCCAGATGTGCAGCAACATTGGCTCCGGATCGATGTGCCTCAAACCCATGCAGTCAGCAAGCGACTCAACTGTAATCAAGGGTCATCGGAGCAGCCTGCCAGGTAAATTGGGATGTTGCGCTGGCCAACGTTGAGCAGCCAGGCTTAATTATCTTGCAGCGCCGATGAGCACATTCAAGCTCGTTCTGATATGTGCATGGCACCAACATCTCGCCTCATCTGAGTCTTTGACTTACAAATGTTTGCCAGAGCTTTGAGGAAAACCTTCGGTGGGCCTCAGATCAAGCAGCGCTGAGTCCGGCAGTGCTGGCGAACCCGCAAATGCTCCTCATTGCTCGTCGGCCTTAATTTTTACTAGGACTCCGTCTGATTCTGCGTGTGGCAGTCAAGTCTCCAGACAGTATATAGTAGAGAAGTCTGTGCGAACTACTTGCGGATCAAAAAGTGATACGTGGGTATCGAGTCCTGGTCCCACAGACATGTATAAGGGCGTGTGCAAGCACATGGGTTCACTTGCCCTCATGTCTCATGTGTGTTGCAGCATTTGCTGTTAATGTGTACGCTGTATCTTTTGCGCGACACTTTCACATGGACCCGTGACACTCAGATCTCCGGAAACCTGACAGAGGTTGAATCCTTAAATCGGGTTGTTTAGTGGTTCATGGAAGGAGTGTTCTGCTGCCTGAAGAACCATGGGTGCGTGAAGCAAGTCTGCAAGTGATGTCTTGTGGATGCATATAACAGTATCAGCTTGTGTATAGCTCGGCAAGACACCTCTGAAGAGCAGCGATGGCAGCTATCGCCGAACTGGATGCCAGACGTGAGGCAGCATCATGCCCACCATGAATCCTTGAAGCTATCTGTTTGTATGGGAAATAGCGGGGACAAGACAGTAGGTTGTTTGATTCGATTGGATGTGGATAATTAAACCGCTGCTCACACCTTCCTTCGAATCTGCCAATGCTGTGCAAGCTTGTTCAGGTCCCCCCTCCCCCCACGGAAAAGGCAGCAGATAATCTGTGCTGTGGCTCCGTCCTTACCCCAGCTAGCCGACACTTCTTTGGCAGCCAAAGCTGGCATTTGCTGCTCAGTGGCGCCGAACACCTGCCATCATCCCCTTCAAAGACACGAACTAGGCCAGGAATAGGCCATAGCCGGTATGGAAACGCCACGCCCTTATACCACCCATCGAATGCCGCCGACTGAGAGAGAGAGAACGTCCCACTCAAAGGCGCTCCGGGCGCTCCGTTGTAGTGCCGGCCACACCCTTGAGCTGGCGCGGAGCACAGAGGGCTGCAAGAAAGCCTCTATCTAAACCCTGATTAGAGTGCACATGGACTGAAGAGAGTTGGATTGGTTGTTCCACATCGCTTTGGCCTCCACCTCACAACCTGGAGCTGTCGAGATGTTTAGGGGCTGAGGCTGGTGTGTTGCCACGGTTTTTCAGGTGCTCGCTCTGAGCGAGCAGGTGTGGGAAAAGCTGTGGCGGACACATCAATGTTGATGCAATCATGAGGCCAGCTGCGACATCGGCGCACAGCTGTGCGACAGGCCAGCGGCTGTTTGCAATCACCCACAAGCCCCCCCACTATAGGCGATACGATCAACTGGGAGTCGGGGCGGACAGATTGGGCTCAGGAGAAGAACTATTTGTTGGCCGGAAAAGGAGCAGCTCTGGTGTGAATCCATATACCCCCCCCCCCCCCCCCCCCCCTTGCAGGTGTGAGCGGCGCATTGACTTGTGCTTCACCTACCGCTGCAGGAGCGAACCACATTCAATCAATGGCATTGACGTCAAACGATTGACTTACATTGTGAAATGCATATACCTGTATTGCAATGTCTCCCAGGTTCTCCTGCACTTCCGCAGTGTGTCGGCTCTTTTCCCAGTCGCCTGCTAGCATCATGGCGAAGGTTGCTGTCATCGTGGGCGCAGCCTCCAAGCATGACAAGGTCGGGAGCCAATTGCAAGTTGGAAGGATTTGCAAGGCTCAAGCTGCAAATCGCAATTGTTTGTTTGTGTTTTTTTTAAATTGTGTCCACCCTGGCTATCCGAGGATGGCACCGACGTGGACTTGCCTCCAGCCAGCCGCTGGGGCCTGGGAGGTGCCCTCTGCCTCCGTTTCGCGCAGGTGGGTGCTTCTGAATTTTGTTTGTGTTGTGGGCAGGCTCCATGGGATGCAGACCTGACACTTGGCATGTAACTTCTGAAAGGGCGGCTTCCACGTCGCGCTCCTTGGGCGGCGCGTTCCCATCCTCGATGGGGTTGCCAAAGAGGTGCGGTTGTCAGAGAGATGTGCTACAAGGCACTGGTCAGGTCGCATCGTCGTTCCCTTCTTTCTTGCAATCTAGTAATTTCCAGTAGTGCTGCCGCATCAAGGATGTAAGATCAGAGCTGCTCAGGCTTGAGAAAGTCCTCTGGGGAGGTTTGCATGGAACCCGGGTATGCGAAACTAATCGCAAACATGAAGTGTAAGGCAGTCATATATGTGACCAGTGAGCAGTTGTCATGTAGAAGCAGGTGCAAGCCATTGGCGGCACAGCAACTTGCATTCAGTGCGACGTGGAGGACGGCTCATGGCTCTGCCACTTCGTTCATTTGCGTGCCAGGATACTGGTGTAGGTAGGACTCGATTCTTCGAGGCCTCCGCCATTTGGCTTGGGCAAGTGCATGAAAATGTATCTACTGTATTTAGTTGTTCCCTTTGACTAGGATGGAACAGTGAAACCGAAGGCTCTGGGCTTCCAGCGGCGCTAAGTGATGCTAGGTGCTACATAAGGAAGCCGCCACGAAACCAGAACAAAAAGCGGCTGATGCAGGACAACGCGAGCGTGAAGAGCGCTTTCGACGCGGCGAAATCACTGGGAACTGTGGAAGTGGCGCCTTTGATGCCATGGTCATCCATCAGCCTGCGCGCACTTTAGAACTTTTAGAGAAAGAAGTCTTACTGTAGTCCGCAGCCCGATGTTGTCGGCGTGCGTTTCAGGCTTGGTCGGGGGTGCACTGTCGCATAGGACAGCTTGGATATGGCCCAGGTGGTCTACAACGTGGCACCTCCCTTTCCTCCGGGCTGTGACTTCACTAACCTCCCCATGGCTGAGGCTTGTCGTGCTGAGAGGTTCGAGAGCTTTGCAGAACGGAGTCCGGGTAGCAAAGTTTGCACCAAAAAATATCACCTCTCTAATCAACTTGCTTGTCGTTGATGCATGACAAAAAGAAGCCTTGCACAGAGAGACAGAAAGATGTTACTTGGAAGCTGCTTCTCTGGCCCGCCACCCAAAAGGTTGTTGACCCAGAGTACTTCACACGAGCCTTCAACATCGGTGTCAGCGGATGTGCGCCTCGCCTTGACAGATTCTGATGGAATGGGCAGAACTACAGACTCGACCCAACTTCCGACATCCTATAAACCGAAGTCGAAGCTGCCACTTGTAACGCCGACTTCGGAAGCGCGCTTCTCATCAAGGTGTGCTCCAGTTTCGTGTTTCTTGCCTTCGCAGCATAAGATTGCGTCGACATGTCGAACGGCCAGGCTGCATCAAATGACTTCTTGGACATGCAGTGCCTAGCAAAACACGAAAGACACAGGCAGTCGCAGGCGTCGCTTTTGATGCCGAGCGATCCGCTCCAAGTAGAGCTCGCGACCCATGTACTCGTATGGGTTCACCTTGCAGACCTTGCACATCTACTCTTGTCGTTTTCGTCGGGCATCTGGACTATCCGAAGAAAGTGGCTCGAGGAAAATAGGTTGGGTTTGTTGGTTTGCTTTCGTCCAGGGCGTCAACCAAGAAGCATCCTGATGCTTGAGACTTTTGGCCCCCGTGGAGCCGTGGCGTACCTAGGTCCGCTGCGTGCGCGAGATTGCGCCGGACATGATGGAGTGCCCAACCAGCACAGGTTTGGTCGCAGTTCAGTTTTTACTTTGTCGGAGGGTTTAGGGTATGTGCTTGGCTCAGCTGCATCGAAGCTGCTTGCAGCGAATGTTGTGTTACTACTGCTAGTATCAGCTTCGAGTGTTGTGTTGTTCCCCCCACATCAGGGCGGCGAGCGAGAGCATGAGAGGAAATGTGTTGGTATGTCTTGTTGAATGCTGGCATGCATGCTTGTATTCTGACATATCTATAAAGAAGTGCTCCCGAGGCGAGGCCGCGGCACAATCCTCTTGAGCGGTGCGACAATGGCTTTACGCGGAGGCTGCAGACAGTTTGAGGTGTCGCACAAAGGCAGACATTGGCTGGGGGAAACATGTCTTTGAAGCCGAGCTTCCAGCTCATGCACTGTGTGAGCACCGCTTTGCGGTGCCTGCCAGGCCCGAAATTTGCGTGCATGGCCCCCATCAAGGCGCGTCTACTGGGCCAGATTGAAGGCATACTGCAACATCCTGCAGCACGCATACCCACAGACAGCAAACCTTTGGCAAGCCAATTATAGGTTCCGATTTTGAAGGGTGTCGGCCCAAAATCTCCCAGACACAATAAAGCCTCAAAGTGCACATCCGAGCCGAGCAGGTAGCCGCGTCAAGCTTGGTCAGTTCATGTACAGTACGAAACCTAACGCAAAGTGAAAGGGTACACATGGCAAATTGTGAGCACAGAATGTGGAGGCGGCTTTGCGGTCTTATGGTCAGGCGATGTATCCCGGCTTTCAAATTTTTCAAAAGTTGTCAGAGATTCAGATTGCAGGTGTTGCGTGTGAGGTTTAAAGTCACGTCTTCCTGTGCTCCTAGGTATCAGACCTATGCCCCGAAGGGTGTGCATGTGGCCCACGTCGTTATCGATGGGGTCATCGAGTCTCCGAACACGAAAGCCTGGGCTGACAAGGCGAGGTGCGTGCGCAAGACAAGTGGAGATAAAAGAAAGATTAGAGAATAGCTTCGGTTGTTCCTTCACATGTCTTCGTGAATGCATATACTATACAAGTGTGTCAGCAATGTGCACATGGGACAGACCTCCCTGCTGATGATAAAAAAATCCTTGGGAGCAGGGTGCCAAGAATTAGGGCTCGTCCACGCACCCTTCCACTACGGCGTGTCAAGTGTCACGAATCGGATGGTGCGAGGTGATGCTGCAGGATCCTGCAGACCTGGCCGATGCCTTCTTCGCGATGCATGAGCAGAAGCCCTCTGCTTGGTCCTATGCGCCCTGGATACACGGGACATTCAGAAGCCTGCCCTCCCACCCACGTTGCCCACCATGCCAGGCCTTGCCCTGTTGCAACTGCCAAAAAGGAACCATAAAATAGCATTGCGTTATTTCCAATTCGGTTCCAGAAGTCGCAGCAGGCCACTTGACCTCCAAACGGCAGCCATAACCTAACCCCCAAGGAGATGCAGCTGACTCCGTGCAGGGAGTCCGTCGGAATGCGCCTGTGAGCCAAATCGGGCCCGAGCAGGTTTCACGCAGAAAGCGCGGAGTGTCTTGCGTCTCTGCAGCAACCGCAGCTGCAATGCAACTTATTGACAGTGTCTTTGCACATCATTCCGGTCATTCTGGCTCCCCCAAACAGTCAACATATTCAAAGCCGATGCGGGTGGGGGTCTGGGTGTCCGCAGAAAGAAACCGTCGGGCATGCAGGAGCTGCGACTTCGACCTTTGTGAGCGGTGCTTTTCGACTGCGAAGAAGGTGCGTAGGGGGGGGGGGGGGTGGCTCGAGGTTCTTGCTTTGTGAAGAGGCTCGGTGTTGCGTCCGTAAATGCACTCGTGACACTCTGGACATGCCATTCTGCCCCAGTGTGTACAAGGCAGGCTTCAGAAGGCCTGCAACGCACTTCTTCAAGCATTGCTGGCTTCCACCTTGTGAGGCATATTGGAAAGCCACCCAGGAGGTCAGTTTTGGGCACCCTGCACGCTGCTAGATTGGGCTGCTTGGTCAGTGAGTTCCCTGGCAGAGAAGGAGACTGGAAGTTACATCTGCGCAAGTACACGTAGCAACGCTGCGAGATCACCGCGCTGAAGACAGGCGTTTATGCAGGTTAGACGGTTTGTTCCGCAAGATATTCTAGTTGGCCTCAGCCGTGCGATGCGCCCGTCAGCCGGCGCTGCCCACACCTGCAAGAATTCAGCAGCGTTTGAATTCATGATCGAGCTGCCAACCACTTCCCAAGCCAAAGTGTGGTTTGTGAGCTCCTAAGACTTAAGACCCTTCCCACTCTTCCAGAGCATCTACTACAACTAGTGCCAAGCCCTTAAGCCCTACACCGCTTACACCCTGTAAGACTCTAAGTCCGTGAGTACTGTGACATGTTCTGCATGCTCGGGACCCTAGTGGCCTGCTTGGCTGCGGTGGCAGCGGGAGAATGCGATGTCCGGACCTGACGTGGATGTGGGCCACACATGTATGACGATATGTGAGTCAGCAACGTAGATTGTGTGAGCGAGAGTTACGGAGTGTTTTCTGGAGCCATCGTGGCCGTTTCCCACCTTGCGAAACATGACTGTACCATGTGCCTGAAGTCCTAGATGAAAACAATCATATCGTGCACTTGATGTGGAAAGTCAGGCGCAACAAGCAGCAGTGCGCATCTCCCTGGGGGTCGAGGCCTGCAATGCAGTGCGGCTGGGTTAACGAAAGGCCCGTTAACGCCCCCCTTATCTAGATTGGGCTCATTGTTGGTGCGCGGAAGCCAAGCTGCCTCGCTGCAGCATTATCAGAATTGCAGGTGCTGAACGATCAGCTTGGCGCTGACCGTGTATTCATTCTGGGAATGGAGCAACGCGGCAGCAAAGACACCCTGCACGTCGACGGCCGCTGTAGTGACTCAGTAGTAGGTGTTGATCCCTTTGAAAATGCACTGACGATTGCCACAGAGTTGCACGAGATGCAAGATGCCTACACGATGTCTGCACGTTGCACACTTACCATGGCATGGTATGGCGGGTTAGTCCACTGCTGAATCTGGGAGTGCTCAAGGCCTGACCAGGACAGTCAGAACAAGCCTGTCGGCTGAAAGTTACTGACAGTGGCTTTGCGTGGGTTCGGTGTGGATGTTGAATGCACGTGAATACACTTGAGTTTGGGTGTTCCACAAGGGATTCCTAGGATGTGGACAGTGGGGGGGGCAGGCGTTGTGAATGAACAAAGGTTTCAGGCGTCGCCGAGAGAATATTTTAGGGGGCATGTTTCACATGTTTTGGGTGTGGGAGAAGCCTTGGTCTCTTGATGTTCAGACAGATTGCCACCGTAAGCTCGAAGCCGTTCAATACCTCAACAGGCTCCTTTGACCATCGACTTCAAAGTTTCTTCCCTATACATGTCCATCTGATCGCCCATTCGCCCAGGGTCATCGACGTGACGGCCTGCGTGCCGCTGCGATGCGCCACAAAGAACTTCGTGGCCGGGTCCGAGCACCTCGCTAAGAAGCTTTTGCTGTCCGGTTGACTGTAGTGTCGGCCCCAAACCCAAGTAAGGTTTCTGTTCGTGTCCTCCCCCTGCCATGGCGTCATACAGTCAGTCCGGCCTTTATGCTTTATGACCGTTGCGCATGTTGAGGGTTGTGATGCTTGGACATGTTGGAGCGATGTGGGGTCTACTTCCATTCCGGGGGCAACATTACGTAAATCAAGTTTCAGAAAAACAAGAATAAGTAGTAAAATACAATACTGACATATTACCATATCAACAATAATCTTAATATCAACAATTATAATAACACTAGCAATCATAGTCACAATAAGCATAGTAATCATAAGAATCAAAATAATAAGAAGCTTCCAGAAAGCCCGCAAGGTGCAGGGAGATTGCCTTAAGTCTGCTCGAGGAGGGGAGGGTCAAGTCAGTGAAGCATGACTGAAGCTCTCCGTTGCATGTCACCATTTTCTGCCCACCTCGAGTTGTGTAGTTTCTGCACGTCATACACCCCGCGTTTACTTCAGGAGCTGCGAGACCAAGCTAGCTTGCAACTGCCTGGTGAGGCGCTGGCCTACAAACGTTTAGTACAGGTTGCTTGTCATGCTGACGACATCTCGTCCTGCTCGCCTAGCCAGTTGACTGTCTGTATGCCTTTCCGCTACAAAAGGGGGGTCCACTTGCCGCTGCAACGTATGAATGAGTTGTGACAAAATCACTCAACACGAAAGCCTGCCCAACTCGGGTTTTGCACCAGGACGCTGACGCCAAGCCACCATGGTTGGATGGAATCCGGCCCCAAGAAGCAGGACACGGAAATCAAGTGGGTCCATACTCCATGACTCGATGAAGTTCGATGCTTTGCTGCGGCATGATTCCATCGTTAGAGGACACTGCCTATTAAAGACCAAGGTGAGACATGCTGCTTGTTAAGCTTAACACAGCTGCGCATCTTCCGCATGATCTTGACTACCTGTCCATTGTTGTACTGTAAGGGCTGCGCTTCGACCGCCTTGGCCCGGCCCAAGGTTGTAGCTAGCCCATTTACTGAATTGACCTCCTAAAAAGTCCTAGGCAGGTGTCGGGTTCCCCTCTCGCCAGCAGTGAGGGTCGCTAGTTGCTGGCGCGCTAGGTTGGTATTAACCTGCTTGTCGGGCCTCTTTCCTCCGGTTTCTGTTGTCCGGGGGGGTGGGGATGATAACGTGTGTTCCTACGGAGACCTGCCCCAAAACACTTGTATCTACCTCGCTTGCCTCTTGGAACAAGACGCGCTGTAACAAGCGTGCAGGTCTTTCGTGAACATGCCCAAAAGCACTGGAATTTGTTCTTCTGCCAAAGCCTTCGCAATTCACGGAACCCTGGCATGAGCATTCATGCAGTGTACAGAGTCTACAGTCTACAGCTAGAGAGCATATCTTCCACCACGGCAGTCCCCCATCGCAAAAAGCACAAGCTTTAAGTGGCCCAGACACCGGCAGCCGCACCTACCTGGCACTGCGGGCAACGGCTGCTGCATCTTCGCAGCGGGAAGGCCCATTCCTCACATTTTCGGCGTGTGTGTGATCGACCCTTCCTTCGCATCTGCAAGGCTTCGAAAGAAATACTCCAGACGATCGGTCGAGTCCACAAATAACTCCGAGTCCATTCCACCGAAACCAGTGGAACTGGCCTTGGGGGGAATTCACCTCCAAGATGGAAGGTCCCTTCGGGCGCGTCGCTGTCGTCGGAACGCACGGGGTGTTGTCCGTGCTTGCCGCGCAGTATTTGCAGCCCGGGGCCAAGCAGAGGAGCAAGAACATCGATCTTTTTTTACCTTGGCTTTTGCACAGACGTGCCCTCATGCTGTCTGAGGAACTGAGAGGTTTATTCGTGCACGACTAGGGGGCTCTCAGCCTTTCTTTTGCCCCATTGCAGGCCCTTTTGCTGAAGAGAAGTCTTGCGTGCTTAAGCTCGTAGGAGGCCACGGAGCGGACAGCTTGAAAGGACGAAGCTTTGAAACGAGCAAAGCAGCAAACCCATGTTTGACGTTTAAAGATGTCCCAGCAAATGAGCATGCCATCACCACATGACATTCGATTTCCGTCAAAAAGATGCTTTGCGCCAAAGCTCTCAAGCCAGCTTGTATCCATAGTGGGTTTGGCAGATGCAGGCTTTTAAGGTGTGGCCCACAAGACTCTAGGACTCTAGGAAGCAAGCCCAACTCTGCAATGTAGTTGGCAGGTCCCACCCGGACCTGGAGAGCACATATACCGAGAGCATGGCATGTGACTTGCGGGCGAATAACATAGGGCCCCTGCGAAGAGCCAAAGTAGCTGCACAGCAACAATTTGTGTTTTTACGAACATCGTCCCGGATGAAGAAGAATTGAGCAAAGTAGCCACTCAGGAAGGCTGCGCAGCCAGTGGATCTTCACATGGCTCTCTATGGCCAATGCCAGCTGTGCGAGTCGTCTCAGTTGCTGACTCGGACGTGTGGTTCTCCTTGACTCATCTTATTTCATCTTGCTCCTCATGCATTAAGTTTTGTGGCGACAGGAGGAGGAAGAGAAGTTCTCATGGCAGGGTCTTCACTCCGTTGCCGCTCCGAGGACTTGCCAGAAGCACCATGTCCCTAGCCCTTTGGATGCGGGCTGCGCGTGGCTTCACGGCTGAAGATGCAGATTGCACACATTGTGTTTTGTGGGCCACGAAGCAATACTCTAACCATACTGGCAGATTTCCGGCAAGATGCAAGAAACGATTTGCATGCTACAAGCATGTGCATGTCATCCTTCTTCATCCGCGACACTGATGCCTACATCATTCCTTACAAGCCTTTATTGTAGTAGTTACTCGTTCTGTACTGAGCAATCTCGCAGGAACAGTATGTTTGAGGAAGATTAGTTTTCATTTTCCCACGAAATCCTCTGAGGGCAGCTTGTCAAGGCTGATGCAAGGTTTCAACGCAATGCTGCCAATACATGCACGTGTCAGGGCGTGACGAAGTCCAACACTTAAACACAGTCAGTACTCGCAGCCTCGTAGCTACCTTGCCCATACTAAACATTTTGAAGTTACACCGCATGAATCCTTTTTGTTCAGGTCCCATGGCCACGGCAACCTTGAGGAGGAGGTGACTGGGGCAGTGCAGGCAGGAGCACGTCATACAGACAAGCACCCGTCAGGTCCATGAAAGAAAGGTCATGAAGATGTGATTTTAAGGTCGGGGGCGGAGCTCTTGAGCAGGGTTTGGGATCCAGCTTTGCTCTTCTGTCGAAACCTTATCTGGCTGCTATTCTGGCACAACCGAAAGATTGGATGCGCTAAGACTCTAGACTCTAGACCAAACAAATGCAAGCAATGTCTGGGGCTCTTGTGGAGGAGTGGCATTGGAATGACGTGCTGGCCAAGACTAGGGGCCATGTAGCGTCACTTGCTTTGGCACTGTGCGTGTCTACTCGGGCCCCTTGGCAAGAGGCATTTCTCCGCATCGAGAGCAACCTCGCCGCGGTGGTGTGCTTCCAGCTTCTTGTTTGTTCAGGGCCAGGCTCTTGTTGGTGATGCCCTCGAAAGGCACACTGACTGTTATTGAAGTTCCTAGCTAGGAACCATCTGTGCTGCCAGCAGAAGCTGCAAAGTTCGAGAAGTCGGTGATTCCATCAACACATCTTGAAACGATCTCAGGCTTCTCGTTTGCCACTTCCTCTTCGCTACCCTTGCAGCAACCGTGGCGAGACTGCAGGCTGGACTTGGTTGTGGTCAGGGTGGGTGGATGGCCCATGATGGGCCTGCGGATACACAGGGCAGGTCAGGCTTGACGTGCTTCTGACGGTTGAGGGAAGCGGCTGCATTGGCCGGCCGGGAAAGTGGAAGCTCGCTTGTGCGTCATGGGGTCAGTTCACGGAATGTGCTGTATGCCCATCGTACCGGATTGCCTTCGGAGTTTCTGGCCACATCACAAGCCATGCCAGCACTGTGGACAGAGTACATGTGGAGGCACTCGTGGTCGTAGTGAGTCGCTCTGGTGATTGCAGGTCTCGCGGATACTCTGACAAAATGTATGGATAGCATGCGCCTGCTATATCTGGTCCCCCTCACGCTCTCCAGGTGCTTGGCATGAACCCTCTCCAAGGGGTCCCAAGCTTCATGGCAACGAAGCTCCTCGCAGCTCTGGATCAGAGGCACGGGGCTCAGAGCTTAGGCTGGCGTCGTCTCGACTCAGGCTTTAGTGGCCTCGTCATGCCCTGGCTCGGACTCTGGAGCCCAAGAAGGTTAGATGAATGTGTTGAAGTTAGAAGGGTCAACGAGTCACGAGGCAGTGCATGTGAACCTGCAGTCCTAAGTCTGCACGAAGCATGATCTCGCAGTGGGGCAGCACCCAGACTGGTTGCAGAGACGGAGAGCCTTCGATATCAACATCCCCATTCGCAGAGTGCCAAAGAGGGTCGCTGCCCGAATTCCCAGTTCAGCAGGCTGGAGAGCGGCGACTTGGTGCTGGCGTCAAGCTCGGTGACTTCCGCGCTCACGGCATACCACCTCAATCTTCCTGAGGACTGACATGGGAACAGTGTGGGAACAGTGCTCTCCAACTCGCCGCTTGTAATCGCTGTGGGAGCTCCAAAACTCCAGTTCCCCGCTGCGCCCTTTGGTCTGCACCGACTCTGAAGATGCTGTTCACCAGGAGATGGGCCCGCCGGCAATGCCTTTTCTGCCTGGTCCAGAGCCTGTTACAGGAAGCTCGCGTTGTTTCGCCTCCACAGTACCTGTACATCTTGAATCTTACTTGAAGTTTCCAGAATTTTCTGAACCGTTCCAGTGAGAGGGACTCTTGAGCCGAGAAGTTTTCCAGGTCCCCGCAGCTCCGAATCTGGGGGCTTGAGGCGCCCTGGCCCCAAGGCCGGGGAACCTTGAGCAAAACCTTGAAACCCCCTCATTTGCATCCTCTTCCGACGTCTTTATACTCATATTGTTAACCTTCGCTCTTTGATTTCGATGTGTCTTTCCACTCGGCAAGCTCTCCAGATATTGGTGAAACATGCAGCTCAGGCCAGCAGGTGCTGTTCTTTCGGACTGCCATGCTGATGAACAGTCCAGACACAGACGTTCTCGAGGACTGCCGGACTGCCGGCGCACAAGAGTTGCTGAGAATATTGAATGGTGCACATTGCTGGAGTCCTCATGAGCGTAGGTGACTTTGCCAAGAGATGCGCACCGTGCAATGTAGTCGCAGCTACATTGTAATGGCTTAGTAGCCTGTGCATGCCTGTGCACTATATACCATTCAGCAGTTTTTGGTATTCGTCGTCACGTCAAATGCGTCGCAGGCGACTGTGGGCAAGCTTTGGCCTTACGGAGCCCGGCGCCCAACACTCCACCTTAAGAGGTCATGGGCTGTGGCAGAGCCAAAGCTTCACAATATGGGTTAAGCTCTACATATACACATTTTTTCATATCATATATATATATATATACTAGAAAGAGACAAAGATAGAATGCAGGCAGAAAGAAGGAAGGCACTGCTGCACATGGCTCTTGAAAGCCCACCCTCGATTTTGCATCTTCACAGACCTGCCTGTCGGTCGCTCCACCCAACGCTGGGAGTTAGCTTCGGGTCGGGCCGGTGGCTACCTGTAGAGGTGCGCACCAGCAAGGCATCCTTACAACAAGGGTTGCAGATGGGCCCTGCCTCGATGCTGGTGTTCGCACTTTGTCTATTCACCGTGGCCGCTGTCAGGTCAAAAGCCAGCCTTCTGGGTGGGATTGGGAAGATCAGACTCAGGCGGGGGAGCAGCAAAGGCAACCACCATACCAGACCCTTTCCGTTGCTGGCCCAGGCATACCATACGTACAGCCGGAAGTGGTTTCCACGGAGTCCCACTCGGTTACATGCCCCAATACCAGTGACTCTCAGAGACATGAGCCATGCGAGGCAGTGATGTGCCATGATATGCTACTGCAGTCGGGTTTGGAGAGTTGTGGGGCAGCACTTAGCAGGTGTCGTGGGTCCAGCAACATCTCGCCGTTGTCTTCATCCCGGACCATCCGTTCACAAACGCTATTGCCACAGACTTCAGGGTGGGGCGGGGGTCCGGAGTGGGGAATCAACTCAGCGTGTCCAGCTGTCATTGACAGCTTTCATGCCGGATGTAGCAGCCTTCATATGTTGAAATTCCGCCATGCGACCTGCTTCGACAGCCCTGTTCATGGTGATGCAGCCATTTGTTGTGCTAGTGATCCACCTGTCATCCCAATCGTCCGGTGTTCCGTAGGATGGCCGGTTTGCGAGTGCTCCTCTTCACTGCAATTGTGGGAGTGCCTTGGGCTTGAGCATGTAAACCACGAGCGCTCGGTCCCGTGTAATGAAGGGAGGGGGTGGTGAGCCTGGCCAGAATCGCAAGTCAGGCTCCTGATGCCCGGGAAGCAACTGTGCACGACTCGCAACTTCCAGCCTAGGTAGATGCCACCTGTGTTGGGGAAAGCTGTGCACGGCGAACAGATGGACCCTGGCTCCTGCAGCAAAACAGCCGCCGGGGACAGCTTCAAACTACTGTGCAGGTGGAGTTTGTGCTTTTCTGCTTCGATGGTTGGACTGATTCTACTGATTCTCTGGGCTAGTCGTTCTGTCTCCAACTGAAGGGAGCACGAACAAATAGCATCTGAAACCCTTCCCTACCAGGGTTATGCTGGGGTACCCCTGAATCAAGAGGTGAATGCCACGCCCTCCGAGCTGATGCCTTGCCCCGGGGTGGCAACGTTGACCACGGCCTGCATGACTACGGCACAGTATGATGCAGCTTGGCCACTGCTTAGCCACGAAGCATTTCCAGCGACTTCTGATGCATGGCATTCTAAGCACAGTCTGCAACCACGGCGTGGACGCCACCTATTGCATGTAAGGAGATGGTGTCTGCTGTTCGTGGTCATTTGGAGAGCTTGCCAACAATCTGCACCGCCTCAGACTGCCCTCAGGCAGACTGGGCTGGCTGTGTGCTGCGTATGGCCGGGCACGATTTCATGGACTTTGCAAATGGTCAAGGTGGCTCGGATGCGTGCACCGACATGGCCGACGCCGACAATGGCGGGTTGTCTGCGTGCTTAGCCAATGGAGAGCATGGCATTTCACTGCAGGAGGTGTACCAGAACTACTGCACCAGCGTGTCTTTGGCGGACTTCTTGGTGACTGGCTTGTGTAAGTCAGTTTTCTCGAACCATTACATTAGTTTATGAAAGAGCTTCCTTGAACATTAACGACTAGCCCTGTTCCACAGCATTACTCGCGTCATGCTTAGGCTTAAACGACTCGATTCTTAAGGATTTTGGGCCGAAATCTTATTCCTGAAGACAACCTACTTATGCATGTATACACATGACCGCAGGCTCTGTGCAAATACTTTTTGTAGATGTCTACAAGATATCCATTCTGCAGCATACATGACATTGAGCCAAAAAAGCTGGTTTACTTCTTTTCAGCACGGAACCATGGAAGCCAGGTGATTGCAGCAGAGGCCGTCATCATGTCCACCAGAGCTCGGCATGAAGTCGCAAATCCGGCGGCTCCCCGGCTGGACTTGCGCTCATCCTTTCGATTCGGCCGAACGACTGCTCTCACCTGCGACTTCGCGGCTGGGCGCCTGCCAAATCCAGAGAATGGCTGCAATGCCGTGCAGGAGGGTGGGTGTTCCATGTCCATTGCAATGAGTCCGTTACTGCATGTATAGGCTGTGTATAGGGTGCGCCTGTATTAAACCCCGAGCATCTAGAAGCGGCCATAGGAGACATTCCTGGATGGCATGGGCTTGGACTGGACAGAGGCTGCGGCCTTGATGGGCGTCCACAGCTTGGGTCGTGCACAGGTGAGCAACTCGGGCTACCACGGCTGGTGGAGCGATCCTGAGAACTCCCGGCGCTTTAACAACGACTACTATGTGTCCTTGTTGGCAAAGGGCTGGATCCCGGAGCTCGCTGTGGCTGGCAATGTTGGCAAGAATCAGTGGGAGCGAAGTGACATTGGACGCGACACAACCTTCGATGGCCATGAGATGATGTTAAACACAGACCTGTGTCTGGCTTACAGCGAGAACGGCCGGAACGGAGGCCCAGTGCTGGCGACGGAGCACGACTGCTGCGCCTGGCTGACGTCCGACACCATTCAGGGAGCTATTGCAAACAACGGAGGCGAGTATTGCGGAGGCAATCCAGGGCGTGGAGAACGCGGCCAGTGCTGTGGCGACCAGGACGGTGACTGTGGCAACCGCGATGACCCCACCGGCCCAGCTGCCGATGCCGTGCTGCTCTTTGCTGCCAATGAGGCCGCTTGGCTGGAGAGCTTTGTCCGTGCGTGGACGGTCGCCACGGAGAACGGCCATGCCAATTTGCACGTTCTTGGCCAGTGCCCTGGCACCACAGCGGTGACGACCACAACCACCACGCCCAGCACCACACCAAGCACCACGCCCAGCACCACGCCCAGCACCACGCCCAGCACCACGCCCAGCACCACGCCCAGCACCACGCCCAGCACCACGCCCAGCACCACTCCCAGCACCACGCCCAGCACCACTCCCAGCACCACGCCCAGCACCACTCCCAGCACCACGCTGGCCAGCACCGCAACAACGTCTACGAGCACGAATCCGACCACCTCTGAGGCCACTTGTCTGCACCGGATCCTATGCGGCTCTTGCAGCATCTTCTTACCTAGGGCAAGTAATACAGCCAATTATACAGTGAGCACTACGCAGGCGACGACGAGCAGGGCAAACGTGGACCTGTTGCGCGGATTTCGGCTTGTGGATGGAGGATGCTCGGTTATTCCTCAGATGTCTTCTTGCTGCAGATCTGCTATACCGAGTTGACACGCGCTGAGGAATTGGCAGGGCCTGTCGTGGGGAAGATGCCGGTGATGATGATGCCGAGAATTTCGAGGCAGCATGCCCTAGTATCCATGCTGCTGCAATGATTGTTGCAAAGGCCAGAAGCATCCCCGCTACAGACTCTGCTGCCCTGACCACCAACCCCACAGGTAACCTTGCAGGCAATTTCGTCTGAAGAGCCATTGCAGTCAGAAGCCTGCTTTGCAGGTCGTTGCAGCAACAGACCTGCGAGGCGGGTGCACCAAGTGAATAAGTTTTGGTTTAATTTCTTCGGCTACAGTGATGTTACAGCTAAAAAGGGAATTTCAAAATATTAATATTGAGTAGTATACATTATATATATATATATATACATTACATATAGCCATTTATATATATATATAACTTATATATACAAACATATATACATACATATACATACATGGATCACGGACAGAGAGCGGCCGATCCCGCAACAGTCATGCAGTCTATAGCAGAATTTGCGCAACACGTGAACAATTGGGCAGTGTGGCGCTTGTAGAAGCTAGAAGTGTTTCTGAAAACTTCCCCTGAGGTTGTCAGGAGTCATGTGCCAGCAGGGACGGGTGTGATGGTGTCTCCTTTGCCGGAACTCGCTGTGAGCTGTGGACCCTCGATCTTTCAAGATTCAGTATGCTCTGTGTACCACACTTGTTTTCGGACCTCGGAAGGTTCGTAATTGTAAACGCTTTGCGAATGCTGTAAACCGGATATTGGGAGCAGAGTCGGGCAAAACACATGCCCATGGTGTCATAGTTGGCGCAGCCGTAGCCGGTGCTTTCACCTGTCATGCTAGACTGCTTCGCGGCTGGAAGCCCCCAGAGTTCCGAGTCCGGGTAAAAAGAGATGGCAGTCCTTCTGCACAGATTCATCTCAAATCAGGATGACCCGCGTGGAAGCATCAGTTGCAGACCCAACTTCCGCACCTTGGCTTTGCTTCTGTATGATTCAGTAATAATTAAAAAAGGACGAACAACTCTTCTTTTAAAGCTTGAAATTAAGCCTGCCGAGTTTCCGAGATCTCTGGGGTCCCCAGGTATGCTTGAGCTTCCGTCGCCGAGATGGTGGCGGCAAAGGTCAACGGCGGGAGAATGCCTAGGAGCAGAGTTCCGGTGAAAGGGCCAGAACGGAGGGGGGGCAATGGCCTTTCTCCGTTCTTGGAGCCCTTTCTGTACCTGGAGCCTGTGACCCAGAGACACTGAGGTTTCTGGGAGCTGCATGAATTTCTGGAACCGCGCGTGTGCACACCCTTGTAAAGCGGGATTTCGCGCGACTGGCCCAACTTTTCTACGCTGAATGCAGCTGAAAGCAAAGACGGCTGATCTCTGTTATCCGGAAAGGGGTCTTGTAGATGACGCTTGCATCTTCTTATACACATGATTCGCATCATACCTGAAAGGAAGAAGCACGGGCAACCACATGTCTGCCCTTCAAGTGTTGACATTATGTCCTAAGTCATCGATCAGCAGTCATAGCAACCATGTCTCTGGCACTCCTATGTAGCAACTCAGCTACGTGCTCGAAGCTGCATCTGACCTTCTTGCGTGCCAAGAGTCAGACAAGCTTGCTTCCCAGAAACAAACTCAGGGCGTCCAGACAGAGACTGAAGTTGGGATTGGAAGGGTCCTGGGAAGCAGGTCATCAGGACTGGGCAGCTCGCTTGCAAAGCGGAGCCCCACTCGTACGCCCGCGGTTCCATCAACGAGCACAAGGTTTTCTTTGAAAAAGTGGGACCTGGAGTCCACCCACACCACTGCATCTACAGCCGAGTGCGAAGTTTCACATGCCAGTTCCTCCAATGATTGCTGCAGATAGTTTTGAGAGGCTCTTTGAGAGTAGATATGCTCTTCCTGCAACTCTTAGTTTCTGCCTACTCCATTTGCTTGTTTTGTTTCTCGCAAGGTCACCCAGTGACCCCTTGCCTCACGCACTGTCTGTGATCGAGCCGAAGCCGTATGAGTACAACAATCGTTTATGCGTATGGACTATAAATATATACACATGTATAAGCAAATACCATATATATATATATACATACAATATGTATAATATAGATATAGGCACATAGGTAAACAATAGGCGGATAAGTTCGCATATATCATGTACTGAGTACATACATGTGCAGTGACAGCATGACAAACACCCCAGGTGAGACAATTCAGAGAAAACCTGGCGTCAAGGAGCGCACCTAATCCGGGTACAGCTCCCTTACAGTCACAAAGCGTTTAGCCGTGCAAGCTGGATCGCAGCTTCCGAGAGCAAAGAAGGTCACCGCCAGCAGCCGCAACGAGAGCTACGAACATTCAAAAGACAGCAGGAGACATTCGGACCTTCGACTGCTCTACGGATGCTCCGGCTTGCTACAATTAGGAGACCCCTATGTTTTAATGTAGGGCTGTCTCTTGACCAAGTCGCCTGGGAAGTGCCTGCAAATGCAACAACATTGCATGCGCTGCCCAGCCATGAAGGAGGAGGAAAGAAAAGGGAGCTCTCAACACGTGATGCCGCATGCCCTCATGTGCCCCCTCCCGCCCCCCCCCAAAGCCACCGAGCCACCTCCAGGCCGTAGAATTCCGAGCCACGCCAAACAGACCAGGTCTTCCAGGACCTCTGCGCAATGCGCCTGCCAATCTTCGTGCCCAGCCGCGCCATCCTCGCGCCGGGGCCGAAGCCATCGGGGATTCGAGGTTTCTGGCACAGAGCCAAGAGAGGGAGGGGGTGGGAACGGACTCGGCTTGATCGCATCTCTTAGCTCCTTGCACTTGCGGCTGAAAGCTGGAGGAAGAAATGTCCATGATATACATTGGTTTCTAAGCGCCGTGGTGCATTGATCAGCAAGCCTGTTCTTTGTCACATGTGCTGGATTAACATCTTGGAAGCCCGGTGCAATTGGAGGCAAAGTAGATAAACTGCTGCAGCAGTTGCCGTAGAGATCCTCGGCGCTCATGACGTGGCTGCAGAAGATTGACGACCTCGAGGCAGTGTCAGTGTCTCCTCAACTCCAATTTTCAACTCGCTGAGCCCCCACCTGGGCTCTCAAACTGGAATCAACAAAATAAACTAGCAAGGGTCGGCACTAATTAGTGGTCTACAGGGGTTCGGTTCAAGGAAGCTGCTCTGTTGAAGCAAAAAATCTTTCCAGACTAGAGCATGAGCACTCCGCTAGCATGCCTATGAGATCTTCTCTGCCAGGATAGTTTCCATCCAGATCGATTGGCAAACGAGGGTGATGTCACATGGAGCCAGCAGTTGTGCTCTGACACTCCCTCAACATCCGCCGACCACGAGTTCCAAAGCCCATGTCTCAACATAGACTCGCACTTGACGATAGCACTGTACAATATGCATGTATACAGTACAGTATATTATATTACATTTAATATCTAATGTAAATATAATATAACTATATATATAAAATATAATATATAATGAATATTACATATTATATAATATATAATATATAATATATAATATATAATATATAATATATAATATATAATATATAATATATAATATATAATATATAATATATAATATATAATATGTAACATATGATGTATAATGCACAATGTTATACAATATATGATAGTTGTGCACATAGTATACATTGTATATTTTACACTATATGTTATAAAATGTCAAATATGTAATAAGTAGTATACAATATATTGAATATATATATATATATACATATGTACATATACTACATACCATATAGCATATAACATATAGTGTATAGTATTGTATATATACATTATTTATCATACATCAGTATGTATAGTATATCATATGTGATATACACTATGTAGTAACATGTTCAATTAAATTTTTCGTAATCTGTATAAACCGTATGTAGTAGCAGCAAGACATGTGCCTCTGCCAGGCGGCAGGTGCACCGTTGCGCTGTGCAGCACGGATGCTTGGTAGCTTTTCAGCTGGGTTTTCGTCTCCGTGGGGCGCTGTTGGGCAGAAGCCCGTTGGGATTTCTTGGCTTTCTTTGGTTGGGATTTGTGGTCTTTTAAAGGAGAGTGCAAGCAAAGCAGGCATGATGATGTAGCGTAATTCATGATCGTAGTCGAAATCAGGCTCCGGCGCTTCGATGCCACACCCGCCAAGGGCAAGTCTGGGTCATTCGGCCAGATTCAGCACGGACTACGGGGCAGCAGTTGTCATGGCTGTCCTGGCAAGTTAGCTTTGTTGCTGCATATCGACGTTCGCGCGCATCTGTGACGCAGAGAGCACGCCGGTTCCGTTTTATTTGTTGGCTCTAAGTTTTGGAAGTGCATATGGCTTCCATGATCGACGGCTGGCTTAGTTAAGCGGTCAGTCGTTTGCAACACCTGTCTGTTGTGCCTAGATTCACGTTCTCCGCGATGCGAGAGAGAGAGACAGCAAAGCACGTCAGCACGAGAATCCACACGCAACAAGCGCAGCAAAATTTGATCAGCACCCCAGTAGTTTTGCTCTCGACAATGTTCTTTATAGACCGAGACATCATTGAGCTCATAAGTCATAGACAAACGAAGCGACATGACATTTCAGATAATTTTAAGAATTTTAAGTTGTTCAAGAATCGTAGATGCCACTTAAGAAGAAGTGCTAGAAATCTTCACCAACTGAGACAGTGCCTGCCTGTGTGGTTTTTTCAAAGGGATTGAACATGGGAAGCCTTGCTGATATGCTCATTGCAAGTGCGCTTGCAACAACAAAACAGTCCCACCTATGCCCCTCCCACCCATGAAACATCACTAGTGGAAGTCGTATGTTACTCACTTCGGACTTCTCAGCTTTTGCAACAGCTGAGCGTATTTCCCGTAACACTACAAAAGGTCTTGGAAAACATAGGCCGTTCATGCAGACCTTGTCCCACATCGTCCTCCTTAAGTCAATTGAGATTTGCTACGTTTCGACGAAATTCCCCCTGTCGCTTTGGCGTGCAGTAGTAGTGGCTCTCCAATTGTGTTCTGGATCGAGTGGAGTCGGTAACAAAGAGAAACGGGTTGCCCTTAGTCAGGAACGCAGTAAAGAGGACATCCTGTGAACATGAATGGGCTTCGCATGACATTGACTGTGTGTGTATGCCACCTGCTAGAACTACAGAGCAGAATCGCGCACAGTCACAGCTCTTTGTATTTACAGACAGCTGCATGGACCTGGTTCACATACACAGGTGTGTATGCACGGGCAGGCGACTCGTTTAAAGATCTGTTGGGTTGAACTCAATAGCAGGCAGGGATGTCAATTCTGTTAGTCTGTCAGACACACATGACTAGAGAAAGCAGCAACAACCAAATCTAAAAGCGTTTCCTCACCCTTGGAATGAAGACTTGTCAGTGCCGGGAACAAAGCCAAGCCTGCTTAGGTCTGTCGAGTGGCAGCAAAGCATGGGGTTCGGCCCCTGGTCATTCACTTCTGACTCGCCAGGAACCCACTCGGCTCCTAATGCCAGGATAGTAAGTAGTAGTGCGCGGCCTCAGCGGTGCTGTGCCACTCTCTGCAATGTCAGCGTTCTTAGTATTGAATTGGGCCAACCCCCGTCAGTTCGAGGGATGATGCGTTCAATTTCACATGCCAACTGGATACTCTGCTTGGATTGAGGGGCTCGGGGTGAAGAGCTGGTTGGGAGCAACCGCATGGGCCGGAATGAACTTCACTTCGTTCCTAACGTGAGTCTGGGCGGGGATCTGAAGCCTTCCAGCTTTACAATCATCAATGTGCCGATCTGCTCCGAGCATGCTTACCGCCATTGTTCACAAACCAGTTGGCCGAACGCGCAATTGTACAACCTTTTAGCACCTCAATTTTGCCTTCCACCCAAGATGTTGTCGCCAAGGACACTGTCTCTGTCCTGCCCGATCGCGCAGGCAGGCCTGAAAGAGGACAGTCGCAGTCTGTACAAGGGGTTCATTAGTCTTGCAGAAACCGATTCTGCCTGTTGCTGAGCCACCGAGGCAGCATGCAGAAATGCGTAGAAGCAACGCCATTGTTAACGGTGCAGGAGGATGTATCGGTGGAAGCGTCCACATGCGAGCTGCAGGCTTGGCACCAGTCCTGTAGCTGCCAGTAGGAGGACAGATGCTTCGATTACGAGAGCAGCAAAGATCGCTGTGCGCATTCACACGATTCGTCGTTGGCCTTCTGACACCTGGGACCTGTTGGCAGGTTTCACTGCAGGGTAAGAGCTTGGCCTCCTCCTCAGTTGCCTTCCCAGCAGAAGCTGCATTGTGCACAAGCTCTGCATGTAGGCCCGGCTGTCCCTGGCCGTCTTCACGCTTGGCATCCTTCAGACACACACTTGCCCATATTGCAAAGGTAGACATGAGCGGCATGCTTTGTGGCAGCATCCGCCCAAATCTCTCTTGGTGGAGGTGCGCTTCTTTGCAGTGCTGCATTAACCCATTGCCTGAAGTCATGCGAGATCGAGATCATGCATGAATTCTGAATGGCTCTGGGCTTTGACATTTGGACTTCCACTCCCGAAAGGGGAACATTCCAATGTGGCACTTGCGACGCAGAGGCTGCGGCGGGAGGTCGCAAAGCGGAGAAACCTCGGCGTAGACGAAGCCTTCGAGAGGCCAGCGAGGGTTGAACGTGAGAGAATGAGTTGTGCATCGTTCATGGAGTAAGTTGTGATGCAGTCGATCTAAGCTTTGAGAGTTTGACTCAAAAGAAGTTTTGTTCAAAGCAGAATCGGGAAATGCAGGTTGGTCAGACGCTAGCTCACGAAGTCTCAAGAACGAATTTGGCGTCATCACTTTGCCGCGCACATTCTGAACCCGTGGCCTAGAGACTGGTTTTCCTGACACGTCCACCACCTCCCACATGTCCGCTTACATGAGTCACTGAATCCAAACGACCTCCAAACGGGAAGGCTGACGCTCGAGGTGGAGTTGCTTGGCCATTGAAGCTTTGCGGGATTTGCGGGCTTCTGCAGTTTGAGCTTCGGATGCTTGGGCGACTTGAAGGCTGTCGGAGTTGGCATACGACAAAGGCATTCGGCATCGTAGGTTTAGATGTGTGTGTGGCGGATGAATTAACTCCATTTCAGGCTGGCAAAGACCGCTCACAAAAGCTGGCCCGACGTGCGCTGCCCTTAGCCTGGGAAAGGGCCATGTCTTTGTCGTTGCCATTGGCTACACCTACAACCAACTAAACGACCTGCTTTCTGTTCGTGGCAAGCTCCTTCACAGGCATAGAGGCATAGAGGGTGCAAGGCTGGTAAGCGCATGGTCGCTGAAAGCTTCAGCGATAATCGGGCTCACCCGGCTCACCCAACATCTCTTCGCGTATCTCAGCACAGATGCGTCTAAGGTGGTACAAGAAGGAGATGAAGCATCCAAGTGCCAGGCACCTCGACCTTGAGATGTACAACCGAAGGGTTGGGGCGTTTCCACATGCTTCATGCAGTTGTAGCCGCACGCCCTAAAGAAAGGACATCCGAGGCCGACCTCAGGTTTGCTCCGTGTACATGCGCGGCATTTTCGAAACCTCCTCACGGAAAGACCCACCTGCAAAGATCTAGAGCCGACCATGGTGCAATCGAGCAGGATGCGCAGCATGTGCAGCAAAGACCACCCGCTTGTTTCGATCTTCGAGGTCGGGGTATCCCTGGACGCCAGCCATGGAGTCTGCGCAGGCACTCAGCGACACTTTGCGGG